ATGGCTATGTTGCGCTGACCAATGATCGTTTTATGAAACTTTTTGATAAGCTTATGAGCGTAGTTGCTGATTTTAATGAGTTTAAGGCGGACCTTGATAATAAAAAAATGTCAGTAGGGTCACCTAAACGCAAAAAGACCGCTCTTTCAAAATCTGCTCCCGTAAAGGCATCAGTTCCAAATCCCAACTTAGCTCCAAATATTTGTACCCGATCGGTAACGGCAGCTATGTCGGCATCTACTGGGTCTGGGGGACCTAAAGTTTCTCTGACAGCAGTACCCATAGGTACCAAAAGCTCTGGAGGAGTCCCTGTTTCTGCTAGTCAGACTAAGGGGTCAAACCCTATGCAGCTTTCTGTGCCTACTGGTGAAGTTAGCTCTATAGGAGTCCCTAGTCTTGGTAATCAGACGAACGATGTTCAGATTGCAAATGGTGGAAGAAAGAGCCTCTCGGTTGTTCCATATAGGAAGCAATTATTTGTGTCTCGTTTAACACCTGAAACCACATCTGCAGATGTTTTGGAATTTATACAACAGGAATTCCCATCTCAAAACATCACAGTGGAGAAGTTTAAATTTCCATATGTTCGTATGATATCTTCATTTAAAATATCTGCTCCTCCGGAAGTATTTAATGTACTAAATTCTAAAAGTTTTTGGCTTAATGATGAATTGGTCATTAAAGAATTTGTTCCAAACAGACGGAGAACTAATAATAGGCCTTCCACGACTGTACCTGCGCCAAAAAACTGAGCAGCTTATTTTTGGCCTATCAAAATGTTAGGGGACTCAATATGAAACTACCTAAGCTTTATGCTGACTCCTCTGCCTTTTCTGAAGACATTCTGGCCTTTACTGAGACTTGGCTGAAACCGGAGATATCAGACTCCGAAGTTCTGTCTAAAAATTTTAATACGTATAGAACTGATCGCTCTCCTCGTAGGGGGGGTGGGGTGCTGGTTGCCGTTACCTCTACTTTATCATCGGAGAGAATATACTTTCTTAATCCCAATGACATAGAATTCGTTGGTGTTAAAGTTTCTTTGAAATCTTTTTCTATTTATGTAACTTGTTCTTATATTCCACCTGGATCCGACTTAACAATTTATGAGCAACATTCGTCTGCAATAAAAACTGTTTTATCTCATATTTCCGAAAGGGATCTTTTAATTGTTTTGGGTGATTTCAATCTCCCTGACATTTCTTGGTCCCTTTCCACTGACTCACTTGTCTCTACCCCTTTATCTGACCATGACTTCGTTGCCGGTCTGTTAGAATTATCATTACAGCAAGTTAGCTTTATACGTAATTCACTAAACAGACAATTAGATCTAGTATTTGTTTTAGATCCGTCTGAAGTCACTGTATCTAGAATTGACCCACTAGTTGTGCCTGAAGACCAGTATCATCCCACATTAGAACTTACAATTTGTCTTCCCAGCGTTGATACCCTCTCTCCTTCACTTTCTCCAAATAAATGTAGATGCTTTCGTAAATGTGACTTTAGTAAACTCAACAACTTGATTTCACAATTTAACTGGACAAATTTATATAATTGGATATTGAAAGTGCTACGGAACTATTTTATAGTGTCCTAAACTCTTTTTTCAGTGAATGTGTTCCTGACAGTTTTCCTCCTAAGTTAGACAGGCCACCTTGGTTTACCAATCAGTTGCAAAGACTTAGAAACCTAAAAACAAACTTCTATAAAAAGTACAAAAAGTCGGGTAGGCCATCCGATTTTTCAAGATATGTGGTGGCTCGTACTAATTTTAATGTACTTAACACTCATTGCTATTCCATGTATTTGAACCAATGTAAATTTGAATTTTCAAAGGATCCGAGGAAATTTTATAACTTTGTCAATGCTAAGCGAAAGTCTTCAGCATTGCCATCATCCGTACGATTAAACTCTATTGAGGCATCTACGGATCCCGAAATTGCAGATTTATTTGCTGAATTCTTCCAATCTACTTATAGTTCTGTTTCATGGTCTAATTCTAGCTACCCTAATCACTTAAACAGGGCAAATTGTATTTTTTCTCCTGTAATCACCGAGAGTTCTCTCTTAAGGGATTTAGAAACTATAACGCCAACCTATTCTCCGGGGCCAGATGGACTCCCTGGGTGTGTTCTTAAGTTTTGTGCCCGAACTATTTGTAAACCCATTCTTAAACTTTTTAATTTGTCTATCTCATCATCTGTTTTTCCTACTATCTGGAAAGATTCTTTTATTATTCCACTCCACAAAAAGGGTGAGAAGGTTAATGCTCAGAACTATAGAGGAATCTCCAAATTGTCTGCAATTCCTAAAACATTTGAACGCATTATTACCTCTCAGTTGCAACATTTGTGCTCCTCTTTAATATCGCCGTGTCAACATGGTTTTGTTAAGCGTAGATCGACCACCACTAACCTTCTCGAATTGACATCTTATGTACTAGATGGATTTAACAAAAAATTACAGACGGACGTTATATATACAGATTTTAGTAAAGCCTTTGCCTCTGTTAACCACTCTCTTCTTTTATTCAAATTAGATCTGCTTGGGTTTCCGAATAATCTGTTAACTTGGATTTCAAGTTATTTGAATGGTAGATCTCAGAGGGATTTATTCAAAAACGCTGTTTCCAAGATGATCAACGTGACATCTGGAGTGCCTCAGGGCAGTCATTTAGGCCCTTTGCTGTTTACTCTGTTTATAAATGATCTTCCTTCTATCGTAAATCACTCTCGTGTACTAATGTATGCTGATGATGTTAAGCTTTGTTTTTCATATAATAACATTGAATCTGGTTTCTGCTTGCAGTCAGACTTAAATAGATTCCAGGAATGGTGTCAGTACAACCTTTTGAATTTAAACTATCTTAAATGCAACGTTATGACTTTTTATAGGGGTACGCCAACGTTCATGAGTTACTCTCTTCAGAACATGTCCTTGGACCGAATATACTCAGTAAACGATTTAGGTGTTCTCCTAGATCCTAAACTTAAATTTGACTCCCACATAACCTCTACTGTAAATAAAGCTATGAGTGTTCTTGGGTTTATAAAGCGTTGGTCTAAAGAATTTGATGATCCATACACTACCAAATTATTATTTACCTCACTTGTCCGACCTAATTTAGAATACTGTTCTTCCGTTTGGAGTCCTCAGTATCAAGTGCACATTGACCGTATAGAGTCCGTACAGAAACAATTTCTTCTTTTTGCCTTACGTGGTTTGAACTGGGATCAAAACGTCAGGTTGCCTCGAGTAAGAACTCGAGTAGATTGCTATTAATTAATTTGCCTACTCTAGTAAGCCGTAGAATTATGCTTGGTACTATTTTTATGAATAATCTTATCAGAGGCGATATTGATTCTGTAGATTTGGTAAGCCGCCTAAGTTTCAATGTTCCTGTTAGACTAATGCGAAACTACCATCCTATTAACTTGCCACGATGTTCATCTAATTTTAGTCAGCATGAGCCCTTTCGCGTTCTTTCTAATAATTATAACAACCTGTATCATTTAATTTGTTCCTCAACTTCTATCCCTGTACTAAAAACTAAAATCTTAGCTCATTTGCTTTAATCTTGTTGATCTATGTTTTGACCTGTCTTTATTTGTTCTATGTACCTTCCTCGCGAACCGTATTTGCCCGAAATAAAAATGGGCCAGCGCGTAACAAGCACGTGCTTGGTGTCACTTGTTTGTACTGCTCTTAGTGCATCAACGTTCAACAATAAATAAAAAACCCGAAAAAGATCATGAAGGGCATAATTGGATCTACAAAGTGGCAGGGACAACGCACGAAAACGACGAACTGTTCTACAGGGTACATTCCAGTTGAGGGAACTAAGAAGGAAGGGAGAGTCGACATCACCATTAATTAATTTGTGCAAAAACATAACCCCATGACACTTTCTAAGATGGTTCAGGGTTGGTAAGTCTCACATGATAAGAGGGCAATCGACTTCCTGTGTCCCAGTTTAAAACTCTCAAAGCAAATAAAAGGAATTGTATTTGAACGGACTCTAACATATTTTGGTAACAGCTAATTTGAGGTGACCATATACACGAGCAATATTCCATTGACGGACGAACAAGAGAAACAAACAAAAGCTTTGTTGTGTATGGATCATCAAACTCCCTTGAGCAGCGCTTCATAAATGCCAGGAGACTTCTGGCTTTGTTAGTTATAGTAGATATATGGTCTTTAAAACTAAGTTTATGATCAAATAGAACGCCAAGATCCTGAACAGAAAAAATACGTTCAAGGGCGTTATTTCCGATAGAATAAGAATACAGAGATGGATTACAACGATAAAAGGTCATAAAGTTACATTTAGAATAGTTCAAATTCAACATGTTAATCATGCACCACGTATACAAACAATTAAGATCTAATTGAAGGTCATTATATGAATTAGGTAAACACATGGACAAACATAGCTTGACATCATCTGCATACATCAAAACAGTTGACGATTTTATGACATAAGGTAGATCATTAATCATTAAGCCAAAAAGTAAAGGTCCCAGGTGGCTACCCTGTGGCACTCCAGAAGTAACATTACTTATTTTGGAAATTTTATTATTAAAACAGACCATTTGAGTTCTATTAGAAAGGTAGGAAAGTATCCACTCTAGTAGGTTGGGTGGAAAACCTAAAAGGGACAATTTATAAATAAGAATCCTATGGTTCACTGAATCAAAAGCTTTAGAGAAATCGGTATAAATCACATCAGTTTGATGATGTGTCAGAAAACCTCTAGTAATTAAAGACGTAAATTCAAGTAGGTTTGTAGAAGTAGAGCGACATCTAGTGAAGCCATGCTGACAAGGTGAAATAATAGACCTGCAATGGTGCTGCAACTGACAGGTAATAATTTTTTCAAAAAGTTTAGGAATAGAACTGAGTTTAGCAATACCGCGATAGTTTGAGATATCGGACTTGTTCCCTTTTTTAAACAATGGGATAATAAAGGATTCCTTCCATATGAATGGAAATCTACATTGACTTAGGGACAGATTAAATATCAATGTTAAGGGAAGAGCAAGATAAGATGAACAATTCCTAAGTATACAACTTGGTATTCTATCAGGACCCGGTGAAAATGAGAGCTTGAGAGTATTAAGACTCTGAAGAACATCAGATACATCAATCACTGGTTTGAAGATAGAGTTAAAATGAGGTAGTGGGTATAGATAATCTTTATTAATGACATTATTGCATTTCGTATATGTGGATTGAAAAAAGTCTGCGAATAAGTTGCAAATATCATTATCATCTGAAGCTACATTATTATTGAGAAAGAGAGAGGGAGGGAAGCAGCTAGATTTCCATTTAGAATTGACGAAAGTGTAAGCTGTGTAATTCCAGTGCATAATGTTATTTAGTATATTTAGTGCAATCTAGTATTAATCGATTTAGTTTTAAGAGATATTGTAAATAATAATGAACGGGCACACTACAAATAAGCGACGCCGATCAAGAAGAGCAAAAAAGCGCAACCAAATTTAAAAACTTTAAATAAAAACTGATAAGTTTACAAATCAGGTGTGGGGTTTGCCCAAATGTTGCGCAATGTTATCATACAGTGAGGTTGTTAAGATGTCCAAAGACGAGCTGCTGGAGCTCCTTTCCGAGAAGGGCATCATGTTCGGGGCTGATGCAACAATTTACCAACTCCGTGCTGCGTTAAACCGTGCAAGGAATCTGGAGGCTAACATCGAGGACGCCGAGGACACAGAGATCCAGGGTCAAGATGAGGAGCAGGATTCCCCGAGCACACCGAAGCTTGCAAACCGCATGCTAACGCTGATCGAAGACCGTGAGAAATTGCAAATGGCGCCGTTATTGGAACCTTCTGGAAATTCGCAGCAAAGCGTTATGAACATGTCGAGGCAAGAACCGATTGAGCAGAACATTCGCTCAATGGCTCGCGAAACGTCGGAAATCAATCAGATGATGGAACTGTACACCGCTAGAAAGAAGCTAGCCGAACTCAAATTGATAGTCGCCGAATTGGAAGGCATGACTACAGCGAATGCTTCCATACATCAAGTCGATCTGAAGGATGTGGAGGTCATGATCCCGGAGTTTTCAGGAGACGACAACCTGTCGGTCCAGGTTTGGATCCGTGAATTGGAAAAAGCTGCCGAGGTTCATAAACTAAGCGTTACACAATGCCTATCTATTGGCACCCGTCTTCTCCGAGGATCAGCTAAGCAATACATGCTGTACGAAAAGGTGTCTTCCTGGCCAGAAATGAGCGCCACGCTCACCCAAGTTTTTGGAAACAGAATGTCAAACCAGGAAATTGCGAAACAACTGCAAAAACGCACAATTGGGAAGTCCGAGAGCTTGATGCAGTATTTCATAGCAATGCGTAATATCGCCCAGCAAGGCAACTTTGATGAAGTAGACGTCGTGAAGTACATCGTCGATGGACTAGAGGACCACAGTGGACGCGCTGCTCCACTCTACTATTGTATCACGTTGGATGAGCTACGTCAAAAGTTAATGCGATTCCAGTCTGTACGTCTGGAGTCCAATCGTAAAGCCGTCACCATGATCCCTCGCCCAGGAGCCGTAATTCCGAAAGACACTAGATGCTACAACTGCCGACAAATGGGGCACACCGCCAAATATTGCAAGAAGCCGAAAAGACCGGACAACGGATGCTTCATCTGTTTTGAAGTGGGCCATATGCACCGTCAGTGTCCCAAGCGCACCGTGGGCTTTACCTTGCCAGAAGCTGAAGAAACCATGGATGAAAAGCCGTTTATTCAGTTAGTAATTTTAAGATTAAGTAGTTTAGCAGGATGCACCGATATTAAAGATGTTTTTGCTTTGTTAGATACCGGAAGCCCAATAAGCTTTTTGGGAAAGTCATACTATCCATATTTAAATAAAGATCATCAGCTAAAGAAAAGTCCCTTTCGCGGAATTGGTGGCACATCAATACCAACGTACGGAAAAGTACCCTGTTCAATTTTGTTCGAGAAAAAGTATCACGATTTAGAAGTATACGTTATTCCCGATCTCATCTTACCTACAGCGCTTCTCCTTGGCAGAGACGCCCTTAAGTTACTCAATATTAAACTTTTTGTGAAAAGAAATCATGAAAGAAATGAATCAAATTTAATTTCAATAAATAATCGTATTGCTTTCGTTAATGAATCATTCTGTGCATCCTTGCTTAGCGATATAAATAATAGATTAATTTTAGACAAAACGCAACCCTTTAAACTAAGTATTGATTCTGTAAACCCGAATGCACCCTTGGTTCCTGATGATTCTCTCGCGGATTGGCTTTCTGATATGAAAAGCATTTGTGGAGCTATGTCTATTGACCTTGATAATGTAGATATAGGCCGCGATTTTGGTGTTTCTTCAGCTGAGGAATGTAGTAGTATCATAAAGCATTACTCGGATAATATAACTAACGCGTACGGGTCGCTTAAATGTTTAATGAGCATACGATTAACTGATTCTACACCGTTTTATAGTGCACCGAGAAGATTTTCATACTTAGAGAGAGACGTTGTTAATAAAACAGTTGCCGAGTTGTTAGCCAGTAATATTATTAGATCTAGTCAGTCCCCATATGCATCTCCCATAGTCCTTGTCAAGAAAAAGAATGGAGAAATCCGCATGTGCATCGATTACCGAGCGTTAAATAAATTAACAATTAGAGATAACTTTCCGTCCCCATTGATCGAAGATTGCTTAGAATATCTCGAAAGTAAAAAGGTTTTTTCAGTTGTAGATTTAAAGAGTGGATTCCACCAAATCGGTATGGACCCCGAGTCCGTGAAATACACCGCATTTATAACACCTGACGGACACTATGAATACCTGCGTATGCCTTTCGGTCTAAAAAATGGCCCTGCCGTTTTTCAACGATTTATTTCCAACGTACTCCATGAAATGATACGTAATCGTCAGGTTTATGTTTATATGGATGACATCATCCTGGCGACTTGTACGGTAGAAGAACATCTTGTTTTACTTTCCAAATTACTAGACCGTCTTAATGAAAACCGTCTTGAAATTAATTACAAGAAAAGTGTATTCCTAAAAAACCGCATTGATTATTTAGGATACAATGTCTGTACGAATGGTATTCTTCCAAACGAGACAGACCTAAAGGCCATTCGTGAATACCCTGAACCTCTAAATTGTAAGTCCCTTCATTCTTGTTTAGGCTTATTCTCATACTTTCGTAAGTTTGTTCCGTCATTTTCACGTATTGCTAAACCGTTGTCTGATCTGCTTAAAAATGGAGGTCCGTTCCCGATGGGAAAACTGGAATTGGAAGCTTTTACTAGCTTAAAGAAAGCATTGTCAAGTCCGCCCGTTCTTTCCTTATTTAACCCTAATAGCGAAACCGAACTGCATACCGATGCGAGCTCCCACGGGTTTGGAGCTGTGCTGATGCAGCGCCAAGATGATGGCAAGTTACATCCGGTCTTTTTCTATTCCCGTAAAGCGACTGCCGCCGAATCCCGTTATCATAGTTTTGAGCTTGAGACCCTTGCGATAATATATTCTCTCCGGCGTTTCCGTGTGTATTTAGAACACAAGCCGTTCCGTATCGTTACCGATTGTAATTCTCTTGTTCAGACGTTAAGTAAGAAATCCATAAATCCCCGTATTGCACGATGGTCCTTAGAATTGGAAAATTATAACTACTCTATTGTACATAGACCCGGTGCTAGTATGACGCACGTTGATGCCTTGAGTCGACAAACCAAATTGTTAGATACCGTGATAGATGAAATTTGCGATCCGTGTGTGCTTCCGACTAAGCCGAAATCCCTTCATGATAGTGTTTTAGAACCGATATACCCGTACAATCCTTTGAAACCGATAGATCGGCGTGAATCCGTTAGCCATATGAATCCGATAGTTCCGCGTAAGACCGTTAGATCCTCGAGCCCGTACGATAATGAAAAACCGTTAGGTCCGTGTGACTCCGTAAACCAGTTAGACCTCGTTAATCGTCTCGCGATAGCTATTCCCGAAAGTTCCGTAAATCTGTGTGAAGCGTATAAACCGTCTCTTCCGTGCGATGTAAATATGGATACCGTAGTAAATGTAGTTGGAGCTACCCCTGGGGATATAGATTTACTCTTACAGACCGAGCAGATTAGGGATCCGGAAATTGTCAAACTCCGTGATAAATTAGAAAGAGAAGCCGTTGGTTGTTTTGAACTTATTGATGGAATAATTTATAGAAAGAATGATGCCGGAAGGTTATGTTTGTATGCTCCAACTCAAATACAAGAACAGTTGATCAGATTATGTCATGAAAAGTTGGGTCATCTTGGTGTTGATAAGTGTGTTGATGACCTGAAAGATAAGTATTGGTTTCCGTTGTTGAGAAGCAAAGTCGAATCCTTTATCCGCAATTTTTTGCCGTGTATCCTGCATTCAGTACCTAAAAGTGTCCATGACCGTACCCTTCATAGCATTCCGAAAGCCCCAATTCCGTTTGATACCGTTCACATTGACCATTTGGGTCCGTTGCCGTGCATCAATTCGAAAAGAAAACACCTGTTAGTTGCTATCGATGCTTTTACCAAGTTCGTGAAATTGTACCCGGTTAATTCTACCAGTACCAAAGAAGTTAATTCCAGTCTTTTGAAATATTTTGAGTATTATAGCCGACCACGACGAATTATTTCGAATCGTGGTACTTGTTTTACATCATTTGAGTTTTCTAGTTTCCTAAGTGAGCGAAATATAGAGCACATTAAAGTTGCTACCGCTGCCCCCCAGGCGAATGGTCAGGTGGAACGCATAAACCGAGTGTTAACCCCGATGTTAGGTAAATTATCCGAACCATTGAATCAATCCGATTGGTACAAGTTGGTCAACCGAGTTGAATTTGCAATCAATAATTTCGTTCAGAAGAGTACCGGAAAGACTCCTAGTATTTTGCTTTTTGGTAGCAACCAACGGGGACCTATTGTAGACGAATTATCCGAGTATCTTGAGGAGAAGTTTAGCCTTTCTAACCCGCGTGATGTTACCTTCGAAAGGATAAAAGCTAGTGAAAATATAAAACGGTCACAAGAGCAGAATGAGTTTCGATATGCTTTGAAACATAAGGCACACCCCCGTTATAAGGTTAACGATTTTGTAGCTATCCGAAATGTTGATGTTACTCCAGGATCTTGTAAGAAATTCTCGCCGAAATATCGTGGTCCTTATAAAATCAACCGTGTATTCCCGAATGATAGATATGAAGTCACCGACATAGAAGAGTGCCAGCTCACCCAACTTCCTTACAAGGGCATTCTTGAAGCCGCCAGACTTAAACCTTGGGTGCAAACGTGAACGAAAACAATTAATTCTTGTAGTTGACTATGTAGTTAGTAAATATGTAAAGATCGAGGTCGATCTAGAGTCAGGATTGGCCGAATGTAAGCTGTGTAATTCCAGTGCATAATGTTATTTAGTATATTTAGTGCAATCTAGTATTAATCGATTTAGTTTTAAGAGATATTGTAAATAATAATGAACGGGCACACTACGAATAAGCGACGCCGATCAAGAAGAGCAAAAAACCGCAACCAAATTTAAAAACTTTAAATAAAAACTGATAAGTTTACAAAAGAAAAGAAAAGCTTAGGATTAAGCCTAGTACTCAGATCGGCTAAGAGTTTCACTAGTCGAAAAATCTTATTCTTTGTAGTGTGACCGAAGTTTTCAAAGTTCACCCGCAATGCATGTAGCATGGTCTTACTGTCAAGCAGTTGGGTTTGAAATTTAAATTTAAAAAGGAGGAGTCTGCTGGTACACAATTAAATTAAAATAAAAATAAATGGAATGTTCAACGAATGTTTTTATTTATGTAAATTAGTAGTTTAAAGCTTCCTTTTCCCACGGATGCTTCACCATCTTTCCCGCTCCACCGCAGTCCAGCTCCGAGTCTCAATGGGCATATTGGACCTTGAGGAAGTGGGAGCCGGATTGGGAACGGGGTTGATCCGCTGATGCTGCAGGAAGTCGCCCAGCATCCTGGCAGTGGCTGGCTATGGCTTCTCCAATTGTTCCTTAGCGGGCGCCCTATTTTCCTCCTCCCTATAGAAGCCAGAGGGTCCCCCAGCTCCGCCTAAGCTGCCAAGTAGCTGGTGGTGGTGATGTCCGGAGTCCTAATGGAGAGGTCGTCGGAGATCGTATTACTGGTGGTTCTGCTAAAAAGATACTTATATTTGTACAACGCAACCAAATTCTTTTGGCCAGATCTTACTTTCTTTGCGAGGACGCGCCCGGCAGGATGTCCATGTAGAGATTTGAGTCCCACTCGGCATATTCCTTCCCACTGGGATTCTCTAGTGGATCTCCAACAGCACTTCACCTATTTTGCGAATTTGACCCTTTTGCGGAATTGCTTCCTGTCGGTTAAATCCCACAATAAAGGGCATAAGCTTGGATTTGGCGTCATATTTCATCTGTACTTTTTTTTATTATACCCGTTACTCGTAGAGTAAAAAGGTATACTAGATTCGTCGGATAGTATGTAACAGGCAGAAGGAAGCGTTTCCGACCCCATAAAGTATATATATTCTTGATCAGGATCACTAGCCGAGTCCGGATGAACGCTGAGATCTCGGAAACTATGAGAGCTAGGGTATTGAGATTTGGTGTAAAGATTCCTGAGCTTCTTACGCAGCGCAAGTTTATTTCAGTAGACTGCCACGCCCACACTAACGCCCACAAACCGCCTAAACTTTAACTCCTACAGTTTTGATGCTAGATAAAAAATTTTAACTGATATGTATTGTTCTCATCAATACCTATCAATTGACCTAAAAAAAAGTTTGCCACGCCCACTTAAACGCCCACAAACCGCGAAAACCTGTGACGCCCACAATTTGCATGCTAGATAAATTTTAACTGAAATGTATTGGTGTTGTCAATACCTATCGATTGATCCAAAAATAAATTTGCCACGCCCACTCTAACGCCCATAACGCTTAAATCTGTCTACCGCCGGTAGGTGGCGCATTTTAATCTCGCTTTGTTGCTTGCATATCTCCATTTCCCTTTGAGTAACGGGTATCTGATAGTCGAGGTACTCGACTATAGCGTTCTTCCTTGTTTTTATTTTTATTTTTTATTGCGCTGCGCAAGAAGCTCTGGAATCTGCATGATAAATCCCAATATTCTAGCTCTTATAGTTTCCGAGATTGCAGCGTTGATCCGACGGACATGCCTAGATCGACTCGGCTGGTGATCCTGATTAAGAATATATATACTTTATGGGGTCGGAAACGCTTCCTTCTGCCTGTTACATACTTTCCGACGAATCTAGTATACCATTTTAATCTGCGAGTAACGGGTATAAAAGGGCTTGCAGGTATTTGCTGGTATGCCTTGGGATCGTGAATAGCACATTTAAAAACCACTTTGGGGTCGTCTATTGTACCAATTTATACTTATTGTAAAATGGATAAAATAAGAATGGTACATGTGGTACTTTCTCCCTTAGAACTTTCAGTGAACGGTCGTGTTTTTGTCTTGCGCTCCGAATTTTTGTTCTTTTTGTCCATAAACCATCGGGGTTTAATTTATATTTTCATACGTCTATATTACTTTTTATGTCCCTAACAACATCCGTTCGCTTCGCGAGTGCATAGTGATTGTTTTGTGTTTAAATTAACAAAATTAGTTTGCACGTCTAATCTCTGTGCAGTGTTTGTTGTTATAGTTTTTTTCTAATTGCCTTCTTCTTTTCTTCCAAACGCTGTTTGGAGCGGTAAGTGTCTAAACGGTAGTTACCCGCTCTCCCGCACTCCCGCTTATAACTTTGTTTTTGGAACATCTAAAACTTACGCTCCCCCAGCTTACTTACTCCCGCTCATTCTCTCCCGCTCTCTAACTCTCTCTTTTACTTGCGTAGCTTTATTCTCTTGGCACTGTGGTTCGGAATATCGCGATAATGGCTGTCTGCAATTTAAAGAAATGCAAGTCGTTAATTTCGGCTGGACAACAGAGCATTCCGTGCCATTCGTGTGAGAATATTTTTCATGCAAAATTCCTTGGCTATTCGGGCCTGGTACGCGATGCAATCGACATGAGAAGTGGCTTGCGCTACTATTGTGATGAATGCATTGCTTATGAAACCCAGGCACTCTCTATAAGGCGGCTTACAAAAAGCACTGTTACGGAATTAGTCCGGAACAGCCGTAAAAATACGGATCTGCTTGTGGCGCTTGAGTCGCAGCTCACTAGCCGTATGCTATCTGAGCCCGATTCTCCTAAGCGTAAAAAGATCGCGGTCGATAGACAACCCACGGTAGCCGCTAGTGTAACTCTCTCTGGCGATCCGGGGTCTGCAGCACAGCAGTCGATCTCAGCCGCCGCACAAATGGTACTGAGATCGAAAGCTAAAAAAGATTCGGTTTCCGAATGCAAAGGACGCGAGATTTTGCCGCATGAGACGCCCGAAAAATCTGCTATAAGCAATACTTTAATAATTCCAACGCCGCATGTTGACTTAACGTCCGGAGTACCGAATGAAACTGGTAGTGCAGCCGTAAATGCGGTAGTACCTAAACCTGTCACATTCGTGGTACCTAAAACAGTCACCTGTGTACCGCAGCGGAAACAAATTTTTGTTTCTCGGCTAAATCCTGACCTTTCATCGCTGGACATTACGGCCTATATCCGTAACAAAGTTCAGATTGATGATCTAAAGGTTGAACGATTTAATTTTCCATATGCTAGGGAAGTATCATCTTTTAAGATCGGTGTTCCCTGTGCTCATTTTGCAACTATGTGCTCAGCCAATTTTTGGCCTGTTGGCATTTTTGTTAAAGAGTACGAACCTAAAAAAAGAAAATTCGTTCAAAGGAAGTTGGAAATCCCTTTAAAGAGCCATCCACATCTACATCCTCATCTATCTCAAAAAACTAGATTCTTTTCTTCAGCTTTATTATCAGAATACAAGAGGTTTACAAAGTAAGTTGACCAAATTGTATACTGATAGTTTTTCCTTGTCTTCCCATGTTATTGTTTTTACTGAAACCTGGTTAAAACCGGAAGTTCTAAGTTCCGAAGTTTTTCCAAGTAAGTACACAACTTACAGGCTTGATCGTCCGTCCCGACGTGGAGGTGGAGTTTTAATTGCAGTTGACTCAGAATTAACGTCTGAAGTAATAACGTCCGACGAAATAAATGACATTGAATTTCTGTGTATAAAACTATCCCTTCCGGGTATGTTCATATATTCCGCCATCATCGGAATTCCCGACATATGCGAATCATCTGTCCGCTATCCAGTTTATTTCAAGTAAACTATCAGATAGGGATCAGTTAATAGTTTTAGGTGACTTTAATATACCTAGGGCGACATGGTCCACCGTCGAAACCTCAAATATATTGTTACCTTCAACGCAGCATGATTTTCTTGACGGTTTGCTTGATATTTCATTGTCTCAAGTAAATCATGTATTAAATTTCTTAGGACGATTACTGGATCTATGCTTTGTTTCCAGTCCAGATTGTGTCTGCATAGCTAGAACCTCTGCAATTACTTTACCAGAAGACCCTTATCACCCAACGCTAGAGCTGACTATCGACACGGGTACAAAAGTGTATGAAGTATCTGAAAAAATAGCTAAACGCATCCCCTGCTTTCGTAAAGCGAACTTTGCACTC